TATCAATGTAAGAACAAAAAACTAAACGATCTTTGGTACATAAAGGAATCTTCCCAGTTTTTTTATATATTGAAGAAGTAAAACAACATTACAAGAAGGAACTTCTAGTTAACCTCTCTTCTATGCATTAAAAGAAATGACAAGTTAAAATAAAAGAAACTTTACTCAGCACTTTGTTGAGTTGCATGCTCTCCTATTTCCAATCCTTTCCTCCCTCAATTCATTTGCTTTAATACTCTTCTCAGTAGCCTACACGTCACTATTCTCTACTAACAACCCATAACTGACTTATTCTCCAACGCATGACTCAATACGTCTTCTAGAATAAGCTGCCTCCCACGTCACCTTAATTGGTTTTTGTTCCTCTATTGCGTTTCCTTCCATAAGTACGCAAAGGCTTCGTATCAGAATCCAACTATGTACCAACTGTGCTGAGCTTTGTTGGTAGTGGAGCTGTCTTAACTTTATATAAAATGTAACTAACAAGATTGAACCAACAATTAAAGCTGCCTAATAACATGCATTTGATTAACAGATAAGAGCATGCTTTTCTTTATTGATTAGTGGATATGAATAAAGTCACTTAAAATGGGGACACAAATGTTGGTGACACCTTTTTTATTCCCTCGTTTAGAAATCATGAACTTAGTTAATATTTCTTCTTTCCTGGTGTGTATATTTATATATACAAGCACAAACCAAATGTCTGGATATTATAGTGTCGTGTGGTATAAACTTTATTTTGTGCCCAACTTGCTTTTTCTTAGTTGGGTGTCAAGTTCCATTTCTTATTAGATTGGATTTTATGGTTCTGTAATTTAACAGCTTAAGTGGGATGTTATAATCTCAATTCTTTTAAATGTTACTTGACCATAAATTTTATAATAACAACATCATATTAATATCCGACCAATTCACTATAAAACTCAAATGTTGAAGTGTCAGCCTATAAATAACAATTTTAACTGTATCAAAATAACCCCTTAAATCAAGAGAGTTCTTGTGATATAATCACCATGGGAGGCTTTGAAGTTTTGTGATTTCATTTTCATTGTTGAGCCTTTAGAAAGTATAATCACTAATAATATTCTGATATATGCTTATGTTTTCGTCCATCCAAAAATAAAAATAAGAAGGGTACTTACTAAAATAATGAAAGTGGCTGCATCATATGCCGTAACCAAAGTGACCACACTGTCGGCAGCTTTCTCTTATTCTAGGAACCATAACAAAAGGAAAAGAAGAGAACATGAAAAAAGTTTTATGGTGCTGTCCTTGAAGGCAATTAAAGCTCATTTAACTGCCTATATGGCCTTGCTTTTTGGTACAGATCCCTTATACATCCTCTTCATCAGTCAACCATGTGGTCAAAGTCACAGGCACTGATGGTTTAACAGCTTAAGAAAGAATCTCAGTTTCCTTCACTCCACCCTGGGTATAAATTGCAGTCACACAAGAATGATAACCTTCAAAAAAAATAATAATAATAAGTTTTACGATACTATAAAGTCATTTTTCATCTAATGAAACAAGTGTGTATCCAAAAACATTATTCCACTTTAGTTTTTGCGGTGGTCTGATACTACTTTAATTTCATGAGATGTAAATAATATTTAGTAGATGAGAAAACTTGGATATAGAGCAATAATTGTTAAAAAGCCTATAGCCTCTATCTCTCTGAAATCTCCAAATTAATCCTTGAATTTTATTCACTATGAGTGTCAATTTCATCAAAGTGAAAGTCAAATAAGGCACTCAAAAGCCTTTGCCACACATATCAGAATACAATGCCAAAACCAAAATAATGTGAGAACACAAATATATACGTTAGGTGGCATGCTTCAATAAACAAGAGACATTAGTGGATCAACTTATCAAAGAGAACATCATCTGGACCCACCCCAGAGACAAAGCTACAAAAACTAGATGATATCATGTGGCCCACATGGAAATCCTTGTCTTTCTGGAGCCCATTTTCATCATAAAAAGCCAGAGCATTGAAAATATATATAAAAGAATGGAAAATCGTCAAAGAAACATACATTTAATAATTATTACAAGCTTTACAAGGTCACTTCCTAAGATAGTTGTTGAGGTAGTTATGGGTAAGTAACATGTAAAATCACTACTACTGACAGTTTTACATTACAAACTTCTTTGAATCTTATTTGGACATTAAGAGCATTTAACCTATAAATTTCCAGAAAGCGAAATTCATGTTAAATGTGCTTAACCATTTATGGCTGCTTAGCATGTTTTATATGATTCTAACACAACATTTCTACAGGTTTAAAATAAAATGACCACCACTTGATGTTGTGGCCTGGTCAAATTAATGATTTCGATCTCTATTTTGTGAAGCTGAAGTTGAGGTTCAAATGATGAAGCATCCCCATAACATTCAGGTGGTCTCGTACCACAATTATGTCAGGTTTAAGTGAGGTTCTGACTATTAGTTCTATAAAATAAGAGGAAATTCATCGGTCTAATTGATGCTTAAGTTACAAGCTTATACATTAATCAAGTTCAAGTTCCAAGATGTGTCTCTCAACAATAGAAACATATTTCCATTTAATCAGAGGAAGAGAAAGGTAAAAGAAAAAGAAAGGAACATGACAAGTCTCTATGTTATATATGTTTTTGGTCTGGCTTACCGCACACTATATTTATGTCTCACTCCTGCCATTCATGACAGGGTTTGCATGTTGCAGGTGAGTGTGATGACTGATGAGTACTAGTTAACAATGGTAAAGAAAATTTTGGCATATGGGAAAAATGTTTGTCCTTTCAAATAACATAACTTATATCATTTTACTTTTACAAAGAAGTGAGATTCACATTTTTATTTTTATTTTCCACTCTGTCCTCCATTTATCTATCTCTTCCTCTCACTTAAAATGATACAACTTTACATTCTTTAAAATGACACACACTTTTTCCTAGAAGTATTTATACAAAATAAATTACCGTACTGTAATGTGTTTTACATAGAGAACCTCTTTCAAAATGGTTAAAGATTTTAATATGTCCAAACTGGCAGCACTTTCTTTAATAACTCTCGAGCACTTGAGAATCTCACTCTTACATAAGTATTCAGCAAAAGAAAGATGCAGATGAATGACCTCTGTTATTTTGAGAGCACTGTGATAACATTAAAAACATAAACACATTTTCAAGATAAAATAACTATCAAATTCGTTATGGGATTGACATCTTTGCCTTGGTTTCATGCATGCTCCCAAATTATAATCACTGGATTCACTGGCTTTGAGACTCTAAAAATTAAAGTAAACAAATAAAACATTAAAGATAAACACTTCCCTCGAACGTCTCTTCTAGTAAATGACAAAAATGCCTTATCATTCTCACGTGCTTTCTCGTCCTCAAATGGCAGGAACATTTGTCCGTGCATGCGGCAAGGACACTGCATAGTGCAAATCTCAATAAAAACCATGCAAGTGAGTTTGCGTATCAGTACAAATACATTGTAAGTGTAGACACAATTTAGCTTTATTTATTACAATCCCAAAAGAACTTCAAATTAAGGAGATAAGTTAAACACTTTAATCAGAAAATGGGTAATCAGAGACAAAGTCATGTGTGTATTGCTCGAATCTTTTAAAGGGAAATTATAAAGGACTAGACAAGCAGAAGTGCGCACTTTGGATTCTCCTTGAGAAACGGATTATATGTAATGGTATTTCATTGCAGCTTAGAGCACTAATAACTATTTTATTTGTGATAGGAAATGGTTATCCAAATGGATCAACCGCTTAATGAGGAACTCTCCACGTGAGATACTTGCGTCCTTGTCAGAAATTGGGAATTATTAACACTAGTCAGAAAATTCTTTTGCCTAGCTAAATTAAAGATGCTGAAATCTCAGCATTGCATGGACCAAAATCTTACGGAACTTCTAATGATCTTCACATGGCAAGTATAATTTGTTGTTTTCTTAAGATGTCAATCCTGACATCATTGTTTTGCACGTCTTGTCATGTATCATCACAGTTGTTTTTTATAATAACTCTTTTAAGTCTAACGTAGCCACATTTCTTTTTCTAAACTGAAAATACAGATTCTATGATAATTTGTTAAATACTTGTTTTTTGATATTTATAATTTTTTATTTGTTATAGAAAAAAAAAAGTAACCCTATAAATTTCTTGTTCCAATTACGATATATTAAGCATTAATTAATATGTTAAATATTAATATTTCTTATACACAAAAGGATTTTTGTTAAATGGTACAAATATATTTTTGTGAAATAACTTACCAAAGGAGAAAAATGAAAATAATTTGCTGTATTCTGCTAGCCACTGACGGAGCCGGGAAATAAATCTAGCCAATGCCAAAAAACCAACCAGGTAAAACTTAGTCAGTATCAATGTTATACCATTTTAAAAAACTCAATCAGTATCAGAGTTATACCATGATTTTTTAAGAAAATATATATCATTTTTGAAAACCAACTGGTTACCAAGTGGCTCTGCTACTGCTGTCAGCTGTTGATAAATTAGTGGGGTTAAACATGAAAATTATCAAGGCATAAAATAAAGGGTTCTTTTTTTCTCCTATTGTTGCAAAAAAACTTCTACCATTGACTATAACTATGTACTTGAAAAGTATATAGTTATGATACGAAAATTATTTCTTTTCCCTCTTTTTATGTCAGCTGACAATTTCTGAAAAGAGAAAAAAAAAATAGCTTTAATATTATAACTATGTATTTATTTCTCCTAATACATAGTTATAATGATGATAGAAAAAGATTTTTTTTTTTCAACAATATAAGAAGTAGTAGATTTTCCTAAAATAAATTTGGTACAAAGTTAAAAATCATATACAAGACACATTAACAAAAGGAACTCATTCATTAAATGGTTCCACGGTCAATATTTACAGCAGCTTAATTCTTGCACAGACACTAATCTAATCATTGTAGATGAAGTGTAAATCAGCTGATTTCTTGTTTCATAATTACTTATCCGTGTCAATTTCCAAAAAAATACAGAGGTAAATTTGAGGTGATTTCTTCCTTCATAATTGCTTAACCGTGTGATAATAGATAGCAAGAGAATCATTTTCTATCCTGAATTGAAGGGAAATTTAGCAAAGAGAAGTAGAGAATGACAGACCGTTACTTTCGGTTAAAGCCAATACATCATCAACGCAACAGTGTCTTTAGCTTCTTCACTCAGTCCTCAAACTCCTCTCCCTCAATATAATAATCCTTTGTCTGGGGCATGAACCACAGCACAGGTACAACACAAACAGTGACCCATTAAGAAAGAGAAAGATCAATGATAAGTTAACGCTATGAAGTTGCGTTCCAACTACTCTTTATAGTCTTTAGCTTTATTCTTCTTCTATTACCCCTACCCTTATAGCCTTACCAATCAATCTTCCTTTTCCATTCTTTCTTTCTTCGTTTCTTTGTTTCTTTCTTCCTTTCTTTTTCTTCCCTTTCTCTGTTCACTTTCTTCCCTTTCTTCACCCCAACACTGACCACATTCTCACCCATCATTCTCATCACAAATGACAACAAACCCTTCAGCGAGTTCTGCATGAAACGAACCAGCATCACCACAGCTCCATCATTCATCATGGCCTCCTAGGTAACTTCATCTACAAACTCAAAAACCCAGAGAGATAGATAGATAGAGCCTAAAAGGGTTCTCTTTTGGCACAAGACTTATGGCAACCATTGCCACCTTCTTCAACAACTTGTTCCTCTATCTTCTTATCCTCCTTGTCCACCTTGGCTGCTTCACCATCACCGGAAAACAAGACAACCGCCACTTGCCACCGTCAAAGAAACGCAAAATCTCACCTTTGTCTCAACCCTCCTCCCCTTCCCACCCCAAACTCAAAACCCACAGAGCCCTTTCTTCTTCTTGGCATTTCATCAAACACCTCTTCTCCACAAAATTCTACAAAACGAAAACCGCCACCCCAGCCGCCACCTTTTCATCACCTCAATCCTCGTCAACCTCCGCCTCCGCCGCCGCCGCCGCCGCACATTCTCTAACCACCTCCAGATCCTCCCAGCAATCACTCATCTCCCTGACACAACCCGACCCGCTTTTTCCGGATCCTTCCTGCAGAAAAAAATCCGGGTCGTGCCCAGAATCCGACATCTCCGCCGACAACAACCTCTTCTTCCCCCTCCGCAACGACATCTTCCCCTGCACCGCGTGCGGCGAGATCTTCCAGAAACCCAACCTCCTCGAACAGCACCAATCCACCAAGCACGCCGTGTCGGAGCTCGTAGCATCGGACCCGGGTCACAACATCGTCCAGATTATATTCAAGTCGGGTTGGCCCGAGACCCGGGAATTCCCCAAGATAAACCGGATCCTCAAGATCCACAACAGCCCGAAGATCCTCTCCAAGTTCGAGGAGTATCGCGAGACCGTTAAATCCAAGGCGGCGCGTCACGGCGGCGCGTCGAGGCGTCACGACGAGCGCTGCATCGCCGACGGCAACGAGCTCATGCGTTTCCACTGCTCAACGTTCCTATGCGACTTGGGACTCAACGGGGATTCCTCAATTTGTTCCCAACAATTTTGTAATATTTGCGGAATCATAAAATCAGGGTTCTCACCCAAGTTGGACGGAATTTCCACGCTGTCATCCAGCTGGAGGGGACACGCGTCAATTCCTGATGACATCGAGCGTGAATTTCGCTTCATGAACGTGAAACGGGCCATGCTAGTTTGTCGGGTAATTGCGGGTCGGATCGGGTCGGATTCAGATGAGGTTGATAAAGAGGATGGGGGTTATGATTCGCTGATGGCGCGCGGAGGGAGCGGAGTTTACACCCGGCTTGATGAGGAGGAGCTATTGGTGTTTAATCCTAGGGCTGTGCTTCCTTGCTTTGTGATTGTGTATAGTGTTTGATGAATGATTATGTTGATAATTAATGATAATGAACGGTCATGATGATGGGTTGTAATTTTAATTTGGTTTAAGTATTTGTAGTTAAGAGATGTTTTTGAGTCTTGACATAATCCGGGTTATTGGATCATTGTGCACAAAATTGTGTGCATTAAATTGATACATCCATAGTATAGAAATCGAATGTGTTGCATGTAAAGTGTGTGTGTTTTAGGTGAATCCCTTGATTGTGTAATTAAGGTGCCTTTTTCTTAGTTTGTGATTTTCTTTTATTTAATTTGATTGTGTGGTAGCTGATGTTCAAGCTGTATGTGAGGTTCATTAAATTTGAGAAATGGTAGCTGATCCATTACTTGTGTTATTGGGTTGCTTTTCAATGTGTAGCTTTTTCTAGAGCAGTTCCTAATTTCCTATGATATAAGTCAAAAGTTATTGTCTTAATTAAAGTTTTATATTTCCTTTATTTCTTTTTAATGATTCCTAACTTTTCAAAAGGAAAAAGTGACTTTCAAGTGGCATAAGATGCTTTGATTTTTCATTTATATTGTTATGACTTATTAGTATCTTATAATAAGGAAAACACATTGGTTTGATATGCCGTCTCAACTAGTAAAACCAAGCTATAATAAAAACGTTCATTTCGAAGTGTGAGGCATGCATTGGCATTTTTGTAATGACTTGTTAGTTAATTTCTTGTTATAAGAAAAACAGTTTGGTTTGATTTGCTTCCTCAACTACTTGAATAGAACAAAGCTATAATTAAAACCTTGATTTTTAAAAACCATATGGTCGGTTTTCTTCTTCTTTTAATTATTTTGGAAGGGGATAGAGAGAGATATATATATATATGGGAAAAACTATTCTTATGTCACATGAGGTAAATTTTTTTCCTACACACCCTTCGACAACCGTGCAATATTTTTCTTTTCTTTCTTTTTTATTTTTTAGATAATGGATCCCACCACTGTGTCTATAACATGAAATTTCTTCTCTCATGCAACATGAGACGAGATAATCCCATATATATATATATGAGTTCACTTTTTCTACCGTCAATGTAGATAACTTATCCACAGTGAACCTAAAATGACGTCGTTTTAAGGCGAAAATCAAAGTATTTTTGTAATTATAATTTATTCAGAGTTATAATAGTCTTTTCATTATAATTTATATACATTCACTTTAAAAACATTAAAGCATATATATATATATATATATATATATATATATATATATATAGGATCTTTTGACACCAGTGTGAAATTTCAAATTTAACATCTCATTCTCATTCTGAATACAAGAAGAATTAAACATCTGAATACAAGAAGTCGAAATAATTAAACATCACAAAACTCAGCATTACCAAATTATAACAATAAGATTTGAGAACAGCTGAGTGAGGCATCAACACATCTCATCAGTTCAAAACAGCAAATCTTGCTAATGAGAGATTTCTCGTTCTTGTAATCTTAATCAACTGGAATCAAATTAATCGGATAATCAACAAAGTGATAGAGAATAGGGACTTCAAGCCGAGAAGCTGAACTGAAGGAACTGAATTCTAGCAAAAGGTCTCCACATGCATGAATTGTGTGTGTGATGAAAATAAGTTTGTTTCCTTCAAAGGAGTATAGTATGTCAATATAACATTGATATTATGAGATAAAGATATGAACCTAAACTCAATAGGAGAGTTACTAAAAGTGTATCTCAGGTGAGAGCTGAGAATTATCAGGGGAAAGTGTTGGGGCATTGTCGCTTGGTGTGGTAGTATTTCAACAAAGTAACAAGAAGCAGAATTGATGTGAAAATGTATCTCTTCAATGACAAAAGAGGGGTATATAACTATATAAAGGTGGAGAAAATTATCTAATAATAAGTAAGATGGGAGCTATAATTGGTTCTGCTCATGTGGACCCAACTAAATATGAGACAAACATCCTCATATAGTGCATGAAATGTGTGTGCATGGAGAGTTAGATTCAATATGATTAAATAACATTGTATGTAACATGCCAAGTTGTAGAGTCAGGCCCAACTCTCACTTAGGGTGACAATATAAGAAGGAGGAGTAGGCCAACCTATTTGAAGGATTATATTCTGGGCTGAAGTAGAGAGGCGTATGGTGTAATTCACTCAGGGTGACAATATAAGAAGGAGTAGGCCAGCCTATCTGAAGGATTATATTCTGGGCTGAAGCAGAGAGGCCTATGATGTAATTCAGTAACTATGATAGTTTCTATTTTCAATTACCCAAGTCATTTTTAATTACAGTGGGATGAGGAAAGAGATAAGTAATATTCAGAAATATCTCTCTCTTACGTTCTTGCTCGTCTTCCTCACTATTTCTCAATTTTCAATATCAGCTCCTATTACATTGGTGCTTTCATTGAGGTCCATAATTGAAAGCACCAATTGATGCGGGTCTTGAGTTCATCATCTCAAAAGCTAGTTCAAAGGGTGAGAGCGCCCAAGGCCTTATAAACCTCGCATTAGTTGTATAGGCAACCAATATGGGACTGATAACATTGTCTCACTTTAAAAATGTAGAAATATGTTCACTTATGTTGACTAAGTACGTGTGGCCGGTCCAAAACAGAAATTGAGGTCCATAATTGATTACCAAAATAAAATTGAGGTGTTTAATAGATAAAATTTAATATTGAGGTCCATAATTATTCATCAAAATCAAATTAAGTTTCTCATTCAATACTTTTCTCAAGAAAGATTAAAACATTCTAATAACAAAATTTGAAAATCGTCGCCCAAGTTCTTATTTGCTTCTTTTTTTCATTTCTGCATTTCCCCTTCAATTGTTTTCCTTTCCCTACTCTTATTTTTTCTTTAATTTCTTCGTTTTTTGTCCCTCTAAACATCCAAATGTACCCAGAGAATAAGAAAGAAAATTAATAATAATAAAAAAATAAAACTAAGCAAAGAAATATATCGGATGTTACTCGACAGAAAGTGCAAATGACAAATATAGAACTTACTAGTCCAATCCGAGAAAGAACCAAACTCATAGACCTGACTCACGGTTCAAGTTTGGTATTTAAGAAAAAGGATCGTAGGAATTTGGGTGTCATAGGGATGTATTTTTTATTTTTTTTAAGATGTCATTGGGTTCAAGTTCAACATCATTAATGAGCTTTCTCATCCAAAGTGCAGTCCATTGGTACTGGACTTGGGTCATGTTTGGGCTCCAAAAATTAACTTTTTAGATTTCTTTTTTTAAAGATATACATTACTTTAGCTCTAAATATGGGAATTTTCTTCAGTGCTACTGCTGTACCAAGTTGGGTACAATATTTTCCTAAATTGAAATTTTTTAATACTACTTGAATACAATCATAATCTCTTTCAAATCCAAATTTTTTCTTTTTTTAGAAGTGATATATGGTGAAACAGTAGCACCCAAGGTTTGCTCCCGAATATGATGAAAACAATATTTCTTAAAAGATGCTATCCAAACATCAAACTTTTGACCTTGAAATTGAAAGTGAACGACCACATTTTGTATAATTTTAGATTTCGAGAATAACTGACTATTTAGCTTCCTTGTCATTTTCTTGCTATATACAAGTGTTTTAAAACCCCGCTTTATCACGTAGTCGATCCCATTGGGTTACTGACCTCTCCTTTCTAAGGGTTGAGGTCATCAATTAGACCTTGCATATACGTTGACTCCTTTGACAGTCTGACTTTCGAAACCCTCCGGTTGAACCAGTGATTCCTGGGTCAGGTGTCACTACATTTTTTAAAAAAAAAAATTACACACTAAACAACATCGTTTGGTGTGTAAAAAAAAAAAAAAAACTCGTTGCTATCTAAATCTAAAACTAGATCTGAAATATGAATTGTTCTTCTTCTTCTCTTCCGATCTTCTCTCCGAGACCCAGACTCAGTCTCCCTGATTCGGTGATCTTTTTTGCCTCTCCTCTGCTGAAGTGGTGTTTCCTCCTATCCACTTCGGTCTTTTCTATCCTTTTCCTTCGCCGTATAGGTTCTTCTCTCCTTACCGTTGATTTGTCACGCTGCTATCTCTCCTCTGTCATTCTCTCTTGGGTAAGGGATCTCATTTTACATGCTATTGTAGGTGCGTAAGAAGGAAAAGCATGACCAGAGTTTGATGATATAACTTTTCATTAACTTCATTGAAATATGTGTTTTATACTTTGATACTTTGATTAATTTGTGTAATATTGACTCGTGGATGTAATTATTGAATTATGTTAAGTTATTTTGAATCTTTGATGATTGGTCATTTGAATTTTTCATATAGAATATATATTTATATATTTTAAATGTATAAAACCAGGTCAGCAAAGTGATCTCGTAACCTCTCGATTGAACCCATGACCACGTAATCCTTGACCTCGATTGAATCGATAGCTGAACTGAGTTTTTAAACACTGCTATATACACGATAACTCTAAATTCGAATTGTTGGGGAATTACTCTAGTTAAAATAAATAAATTATTAATAATATCACATCGGTTAATAATATTTTAATTCATTAATTATAAATAAATTATTTAAATTGATAATGTATTAATAACTGGTGCTTTAAAAGTCAGATGGAATTGACAAGCTGAAGAAGTAATAAAGCATAATGTAGATTCAAGTCGAGATGTATGTTGCAAGCTATCCATTGGTGACTACGTGTTAAAAGAGATATAATATAAACTCAAACTACGAAGTGAAGACCTATCAATGATTTTTTTATATCATATTTTTCTAACATATTCATTCAGACGAGAGTCTTTTGAAGTTGAAATATGAACATTGCACAAGTCTGCTTTTTTGATTTTATATTGTATTGACTTAATTTCACTAAAAAATAATGGAGCAATAATAATCAAATTCGTGACTTTATAATCACAAAGCTTATAATACAATAATCTCACTTAACCGTTTAAGGTAAGAAGTAAAGACTCATTGATTTTTTATATTATATATATTTAACAAGTCAAGTTTTTTATTTGCCTGCAAAGCATTTCACGTGGCTCTAGACCTACAATCATAGTTGCTATCACCTTTGAACAACACAGCATTTCTCCTGGTCAGTTATTTTGAACGGAACCCTTGCATTCCCTTCTGATCAGTTCATCTCAGAGGGTGCGCTCCAACACATAAATTTTAATTTTTGAAAGAATGTAAACCAAATCGGGATAGGTTATTCTACTTATCTCTTTTTCTGTTTGCTTTTGTCTACCACTCTAAAACATTATTAGATTAGAATCTCAACCAATTCGGGATAGGTTATCTACCTATCTCTCCTCCTGAGATTCTGACTTAACGGTGTTGAAAAATGATAGGCAAAGATATGCAGAAAAAATGATAAATAGAATAACCTATCCCAAACCAAAATATATCCATTATCATTTCTATAAGCGTCACCAATCTGTTTTTTTTTTTTTTTTGGTAAACAATCTGTTTAATTTTTTATGAATAAGATTTACAGAATTTATATGAATAATTAATGGATTTTCAGCTTTTGATACCAGCTCATCAGTTTTATATAATAATTGGTTATTATTATTTTTATTATTATTATTTTTCATTTTTGACGTTCAAAAGTGAAAAATCATTCCCATAAAACGGTAGAGTCTAGAAAAGCGAGATTATAACCAATTAACAGCATGCATTTCGTTTTAGAAATTGAACATTCTAAAAGCACATTTGCATTTAAAACTCTACTTTCACAATAGTAAAATGAGACCATATTTTGAGAATGATATTTTTTTCCCAAGATATCTTATGGTTGATAGTTGAGCACTGATTCTTTCGAGGTGAGAGATCATATTAAATGAATAAATCTTTTCTAATAAAGTCTTTTTCATACATACGATCAAAAATCGAATTCCTATCAGCGTGCTTAAGGAACTCAGTTATTTATTAATTGTGCTAGACTGTATTGGTACTTTTTGATAATTTTGAGAATGATTTTATATTAATAGCCTTTTTGATAATATTACTTTATTATGCTAAATTATTAAAATAATAATTTTATTTAATATTTTTAAAATAAATAATATGATATAGGCCGATCTGTAAACTTATGGGCCTGACATATACAAAAAAGTCTATAGCTTGCTTTCTAAATAGGTTTTCTAAAAAGCTTAATCCTGTTTTATTTGACAATTTATAATAGGTCAAGTTTGACCTAATATAAGCGTTTGACAATTTATAATAGACCAAATTTAACCTAATATAAGTGAGATTGTAGGTTTCTGTAGGTCGGTCTAACCCCTTTTCACCCCTAATCTTACCCCATTAAAAATTGCTAAAAAATCATAAGTTTCTGTCCTTTAAAAAAACACGATCTTGTTTCCAAAAAAATAAAGTAAATATACACTTATGCTACGACACATAACACAAAACACAAGTGATGATGCATGTTCATACAGTTTTTGCATCTGATGCTTACATGTGTGCTTGCTTCAAATCTTATTTATTTATTTTTTTTAAAAAAACCTTAAAATCCTCGCATTCATACGCAACGTTCATCTCTTTTTCTCTTCTTTCAGTTCACTCACTTGCTCTTCAAGCCAACAACACCATGGTTGCTTCAATCTCTTTGACTTTGTACCCCTTAGAATCCGCTCCATCCACATTATTCTACTTCTTGGGCGGTTCTCTACAACCTGGAATCTCGCCTTCTCACCATCATCATACATTAACTACTCCACCATCCCCTTAATCCCCTTTGCGTGTTCTTCAAAAAGGTTGAACTTTTTCTCACGTTTTTGTAGTTTCCTCAACTGGGTTGGCGCGATTCTTCCATTTCCCAGGGAGTTTTTCTCAATTTATCTTCATGTGGGTATTCGCCATTTAGTTCAAGTTTGTATCTTTGTGAACCATCACGCTGTGGACACTGTGCAGGAGGAGATTGTTATCCTGTGCATAAGCAGTGAGGATCCCACTTTTTTTCTCATTTGTTTGAGCTTTTTTTCTTCTTCTTCTTTAATCATGATTTCTTTTTGTTTGGTGCTAACTTTGGTCTTTTTGGCATTACTTGTTCCTTTTGCTGAATTTTCGTTTTTCTTTCATCGTGACACTTGTTCTTAACTGCTTTGGTGGTTTTATTGGCAATGCGTGTAAGAATTGCATGACGCATCACCTGGTTTCATTTTGCTATACTTTTATCAACACGGCCTTCTTAGAAATTGTGATGGAAAATGAACTTCATTGTTGATTGTCTATTGTTGGAAAATTGTTATATACTCTCTGTACTCAACAGTTAAGATTTGATTTAAATTTTATTATAGAATATTGGATCTAATATAGGACATGAATTTAAGCACCAGTTTCAAAGTTTTCATTCTCCTGTAGTGTGACTTAGGCAGTTATTTTGCTCAACATATTGTTATAGCTTATAGATTCTCATTGAATTTGAAATGTGGAATAAGTATCTGTTCCATCAATTCTGACTTGTTTTTATCTTATTTTTCCCTACTTCCAGGTTGATGATATGTCATCTGATTTTAAGTTAGACATTGTTACTCAGCATGACTCTGCAGAACCAGGGTTAAGCACCACCATGAGTTCAAAACTATCACTAGATGAAAAGGCCAATGCAGTGCACACAATTTTCAATGGAGTTCATGAGCAAGGAAAATTGTCAATTAACAACTTCGCGATAAACACAGAACGAAGAGCTTTGAATGATAGGTATGAAACAAATCTTTACTACTTTGAAATATTTTCCTGTTTTTGTAATTTAATCTTCAAATTGTACAAACATGGATGCCAATGCTGTGTTACCAGCATGCTTACCTTGTGATTTCTTTCCCTCGTCCAACCATCGTAAATTTCAATCTTGTCAGATTCAAAGTTTGTGTCAATATTTTTCCAAATCTATTTCACTCAATTGTTCCATGATTTTCTTATTTTGGTTTTGGGTGCTTGAAAGTACTTGTTCAAATGTTGTTGGTTTTTAAAATTAATTGTAATTTAGTAATATATGAAACACATTCACTTTTACAAGCAGATTTCTTAAAGCAAATAAAGCTACAGTTGGTGATAATGTCGGTCTTCATATTGATGGCGAAGAAAGGCACCGTTTGCATGGATCAGCTAAGAAGTCTGGACCTCTTATCTCTGGAACAGCTTACTGTATTTCTTCTTGCTGCATGATTATGCTGAACAAAATTGTTTTATCAAGTTATAATTTCAATGCAGGAATATCATTGATGTTTTATCAAGTAAGTTAAATTCTGTCCTTCTTTTTGCTCATGAGAGTGCTGAATGATGGCAAGAGGTTTTAATCTGACCATAATTCTTAAGAATGATAGTTTTGCACTGCTTCTTGATTCATTCTCTTTCCTGGAGCTTATTATAAATGCAAAGTCAATCATTATGTGATCTTTATTCATTGTTGTATTTTGCAGAACTTTATCAGTACTATGGTTGTTGTTCTGTTGGCTCTCTCTGGCAAAATTTCAGTTGAAAGGCTCAATTGGAGGCTGGTTAGGGTCTGGATCCCAGTCAATGTGATATTTATTGGCATGCTTGTCTCAGGCATGTACAGGTATGGAATGAACTTTTTTTTTTTTTTTTTTTATGTATTTCCTTTGTTAAGACCTATGGAGTTGTCAAACAGATTATTAAGACAATTTTGAAAAGGGTCACTTACCTTATTATTGTCCCACTGCTCACTGTGGTAGTCAATGATTCTTCGTGTGCTGCTGCTATCTACACTTAATGTCTTCTTGTGCACTTTTCTTTTCAGTTTGAAATACATAAATATTGCAATGGTGACAATTCTCAAGAATGTGACCAATATCTTAACAGCAATTGGAGAATTGTATTTATTTCGGAAACGTCAGAATCCCAAAGTGTGGACTGCGATGTTTGTGATGGTAAATGGCATTCTTACATTGTACTCATTGATATGACCTCTCTGTATTTAAATCTTGGATGGCTACATAATCTTGTCATATGAAAATTTCATGTGCTCGTAGTAGCAAAGCACTCTAGTAGTTAGGCAAATCAATTAGTTCAAATCATAGATATCGGATTACACAATTTGGTTTTACAATCAAGATAAAATTTACTGGGAGATTTTTAAGATGCAAATGCAACAATTTCTCACAAGGATTAACTTAGGGAAAGTTATATTTATTTCCTAATCCTTGATGACGTAACATTTGTGACCCTTTCTTTGGTGTGACATTTATTGGTCTGAATAATTGGAGAATGAAATTTGCTTGCTGTTTCATCAGCTCAGAAATCACAGAAAGGAAGATGCTGTCAGTTTTTATAAAGCTACATGTCTTCCTATAAAAAAAATTCAATAATCTAATTCATTTACTAACTTGCTGATAGTCTTATTAGTTATTACTCTTTTTTTGGTGAACTATTAGCATTTAATTGTTTGAAGTATTGTTGTTCTCTCTATTCATTGTACAGATTATCTCTGCTGTCACTGGCGGTATTACAGATCTCTCCTTTGATGCAGTTGGTTATGCTTGGCAGATTATCAATTGTGTTCTTACTGCAAGTTATTCAGTACGTATATTTAGTCCTTGTTTTCTTTCCATATTCTATAAAAGGCTTCTTAGTTTGAAGCTCAGATTTATAATTTTGAGAATAGGAACATGTTCTGGAGAAAATTCCAGTTGTGTTAAATCTGAGCTTTGATGAAATCTTTTCCTTATGTGACAGCTTACCCTTCGGTGGGTTATGGACGAAGCAAAAAAGTCAACAAAATCTGGATCTCTTAATGAAGTTTCAATGGTGTTGTTGAACAATTTATTATCTTTACCTTTTGCCATCATCATGATTTTCCTTTTTGGCGAGTGGGATTATGTAATACATGCGTGAGTGAATATGTTTCTTTGTTTTAAAATTTGATTAATCCTTCTGCATCCTCACCATTATTTTGTTTTTGATTTCCAGCGACGTAGTTAAATTGCCAGTATTTTGGGTTGTTGCAACAGCTAGTGGACTGCTTGGACTTTCCATCAGCTTTACCTCCATGTGGTTCTTACATCAAACTGGCCCTACAACATATAGGTAATTTTATGGTGTTGAAATTCAATACACAGATAGCCCTGCTAAAAGTCACTGGAAAAGGACAGAATTTACTAAATAAATATGTATTGTCTTGTGGATAAATTCTAGGGACAGGAAAGGATGCCATAGTTGTTAGTAAACATACGAACATAATAAAAGCTTGTTCATTCAACTAAATTCTAATTTATATATATATATATATATTTTTGTTGTGAGTTATTTTTCCATCTGTTATTATCTCTCTTTAAGTTTGTGTCTTTTTTACAGTCTTGTAGGTTCCTTAAACAAGATTCCAGTCTCTATTGCTGGGATTTTAGTGTTCAAAGTTCCTCTGAGTGTATCAAATTTATTCAGTATTTTGCTTGGTAATTCATCAGAACCACTCTAGATTTCTTTGTTTGGGGTGTGGTGTGATCTTATTTTTTATCTTATATCAATAATGCACACTATTTTCAGGTCTCTTTGCTGGTATACTCTTTGCAAGAGCAAAGATATCGTGATTCCAGAAGTAGTCCTAATAATAACCAAGGAAGTGTGAGAGTACATACATTTATGATAACTATGTAAGTTTTTGTTTCACCATTGCAAAATCAACTCTTAAGACAAGTGTTGAGCCTCAAACGTGGAATAAGTATATGCTACACATTCAAGGGAAGTATACACATTCAAGGGAATAAGTATATGCTTCACCAAGGCAAGACTGTTCCTGGTGAAGAATATCTACATTTTGTTCGAGTTTTATAATGTTATTTATTTCTGTATGAAGTTATATTCGTATTAGACACAGTAATTATAACACTGAATGTTATATTTGATTTTTATTTTACTTTTTTTGGGCACGTATTGATTTCAGTAAATAATTTTGTTGATGGTGTGACATTATCTATGATAAACACCAGAATTTTTTATTTTTTATTTTTGACAAAGCATCCACTGTTCAACTGAAATTTGTAATACCGTGCAACTATTGTAGAAGAAAATAGGGATTTGAGTTTATATCTGGTCTTAATGCACAAGTGCTTGAATATTCTTCTTAATAAATTTTATTCAACACAACAGTTTTAAATAAGCAATAGTGCAATACAATAAAAAAGAAAAAAGAAATTACACTACAATTAAGAAAGTAGGAAATAACTGAGGGTTTTATAATTCTCATTTAACATGAGAATTATAATTTTTCTACACACCCTTCGATTTCCGTGCTGACATAGGTCCTACATATAATTTTTTCTAACACATGGGTCCCACATGTTTTTTATATCTACAACATGAGATTTCAATTCTCCTTCAACATGAGAATTATAAAACTCAATAACTAATCTCTATTCTACAAACTATGAGCTCATAGTGGGTCAAGAATATTGAATTCTTATATTTTTTTTTCTTTTCTGGGATCATGGGTCAAGAACATTGGATTCTTCTATTTTTTTTTGGGACCATATCTCTTATCTTTTTAGCTTATCAGTTATCTTTATTTTAGTATCTTTATAAGTGTTTCGCTAATAGGGAGTTACAATCTCTCTCTCTCTCTCTCTCTTTCTTTTCTTTCTTTTTTTGGTGAATGAATTTCTCTCTCTCTTTTAATTCCCCCTTGATCTTCTCACTTTCTGTAATTTTTTTAATAATTTTATCACCAGTACTTTAAATTATGATTTTTTGGCAGGCCTAAAAAGATTCACTCAGTTTTTTGATCTGAATATTTAAATTATGTTTAACTATTGCAACTCAATATATCGTTGCACAGATGAGCAAATACTTCAATGGCGCAAAAAAGTAAAATAATTCCATGCAGTCATTTATTTTTTTTAATATTTTATTAGGATTATCATATTCTGAAAGGGATTACACATATAAAATTAAAAAAACTGTATAATGAAACAATAAAACCATTTTTGTAATGATTAAGGTAATTACAAATGATGAAATAGGTGAATTCGTGTGCTAAAATAGTCCTGGAAGTTCTGGTAGATTCAACTAATTAATCTGATTTTGAATTTGAATCTTTTTCATCTTGATTATAAATTGTTACTCGCAGGAATCAAATCAACTACTTTTGACATATCAAATCCTGAAGTTTTATGTGCAACTATTAACATAATTTTTCTCTTCTTTTTTTGTGTGTGGATATTTTCATTGCTTGTATTGTAGACTTATGGTGTCACAAACAATGAAATAAAGCAGCAAATTTTTCCTTTAAATTCAAGCTATATATAATAATACTTATTTTATTAAATTAAATTTAGAGAAAGGCACCTATATCGGCATATGGCCAGCCATGTGGGTCCAATTGGACATCCGTAAATTTTGCCGTTTTAATGAATCACTATTATAAAAGTTAATTAACGCAAGAACTATTATAAACCTTGACCTAATCATCCATTAATATCAAACAATTCAAAGCGTTGAGCAAGTAATCAGAAAGACATAACGGAAACAGGAATAAATGAAAAGCACTGTAGCACTTTAGCCGTAATAACAAAACAAAACAATAATGGATCCATGTTTTCTTATGTTGCATGAAAACATGAGATAACAAAAGTAGAGACAAATTACATGTGGGTCCCACATTTTATATTAGAAAAGAAAAAAATAATTAATTGACACGGAAAACGAATTAGTGTAGGAAAATTTTTTACTCTCCTATTGCATAAGAATATGATTTCCCAACAATAATTACCCTTTTTCAATTCCCCAATAGAAGCATAAACACCTACATCAACGCACAAGAGCATATGCGAACTCTAAATGTGACCCACACACGAGACACAACATGAAAATCACAATTATAAATTTATAAGGTCAAAATGGTAATAAACAAAAAATACTGAGTCAAATTTGTATTTTAAAGATTGACACGCGATACAAACTTTTGTGTCATATATATTTTACGACATGAAATATCTGTAACCTCTAATCAACTAACACCATATATAGCTAGGCAACAACACAACATAGTAAGTAACATCTATTTCATTTCATGCAAGATATTAACCAATGTTAATCCACTGTAATGTAGATCTTCTAAATAGACACAAGATATATAACATTCAAAATTTTAATTATGAGAAACATCCAAAACTAGAATAGGACCAGCATAGTTATTCCAAAGTCCACTAGAATAAAAACCATGACTAGAAGAAGATCTTAATTTCATGTTCATCATGACAAAAGCAATCTAATGGTAAAAGTGAGCAAGACAAACCAACTCCATCAAATCCATCTCTCTATTATTTCCTTCTAAACCATATTGATCCTCAAGCAGCAAGTCGATGTTCTGATCATTTTGAATCTCATAATCACAAGAAAGTGATGAACTGGCAGTTCCATTCAGCAAGTGAGAGAGACAGAGATCAGAATCAAGGTAATTGATAGGTGTGGGATTCTTCATGAGACTCTCTTCCAAGTACATGTTATGTGAATTTGGGTTTGGGTGAGTAGATGATTGTTACATGAAGGACATCCAATAGAGTGAGACAACACTCTGTGAGACTCCAAGACTTTGTAGCTTGAGTAAAGCTAGTTAAGTGAATAGTTAGTTACTGAACTTGAGTTAGTTACAAGTTTATTAGTGAGCATCAGGGTATTAAAGGCACATTGATTGTACAATTTGTTTTTTACGAAAATAATAAAAGAAGTCTCTGTTCATTTTTCCTTTTTCCTCTTTCAGTTAGGTCATCACCTAACAATTGGTGCTTTCATCCTTGAATTCACGATGTGTTTACAAGATTTGGCAGAAGAAATTTCTGCATTGCAACAACGAGTCGAGCATGATAAGGAGGAGAATCTAGCCTTCCAGAATCGGGTCGATCAACGTTTTGTTGAGAGTCGCGTGGAAAGTCAAGCTCAGTTTGCAACTTTAACAACACAAATTCAACAGTTGCATGAAGCGGTGTTGGGGAGAGAAGATCGTGTTCGTCGTGATTCCCAACCTCATAATCAGGTTCGCGCGGAAATTGATTCCCGAAACCTAACTAAAGCGATTCGGTTGGAAATCCTTATTTTTTCTGGTGTGGATCCTAACAATTGGATCTTTCGGGTGAAACTCTTTTTTGTCCTTCAACAAGTTCCAGAGGAGTTTAAGGTACCAGTTGCTGGTTTGCGCATGGATGGTTTGGCTGCCGCATGGTACCAGTGAATGTACAGTAGCAGGTTGATTTGTTCTTGGGGAAATCTGACCCGAGCCCTGCGTGAGAGATTTGGAGCCTCTGCTTATACGAACCTCAAGGGTGTGTTGTCGAAATTGACACAAACGGCAACTTTGCGTGATTACATCCAGCAATTCGAGGTATTAATCAATCAAGTACCTGGTCTTGACGATGATCTGTATATGAGCTTCTTTATTTCAGGGTTGCAATCCGAACTCCGAAGTGCTGTTCAACTTCGTTCACCTGTGAGTCTACACCAAGCTATGCAGTATGCATTAGCTTATGATGATCATCATATAGAGCTTCGTACTTCTTTCTCTTCCAGTGGTAAGAAATTCTTTTCGAAGTTCTCATCTTCAACGCCAGAGGCTACAGTATCTTCTGTGTCTCACGCACCAGTATCCTCACATACAACTTCTGCTCTTCCTGTACCTCAACGTGGCCCTTCCAAACCCAAATTGGCTTTACCTGCTCCATCCACAATGAAGAAATTTTCCCACGCAGATTTACACAAGAAGAGGGAGCTAGGGATATGCTATTATTGTGATGAGAAATGGACTTCTCAACACAGGTGCAAAAATAAATTGCTTCTGATGGTGGGAGATTTCAATAATCCACCTGAAGAGGCGGATGAGGAAGAGGAAATTGTATGGCAATCCGAAGATTTCTCGAAGGTGACACAGGATGGTGCCTTGCATACACTTGATGATCACTCAGGTACACCTTCTTTAGTGTTTTCTTCTATCATTAAGAATTGTGAGGTAGCTGTTATGGTTGATTCCGGCAGTACCCATAACTTCATTCAAAGGGGATTGGCTGATGTTTTACATTTACCCATAACTCGTGCTAAGAAATTGCGTGTGTTCATGGGAAATAGAGATTTTTTGATGACTGACAGGAGGTGTCTTAGTGTAAACATCAGTCTGCAGGGTCATGTTTTTCTAATTGATTTTTGGGTGCTGGAGTTGGTTGATCTTAGCATAATTCTAGGAATGCCTTGGCTACAGCAGCTGGGTAAGGTTACTCATGATTATGTGGAACCCTCCATGGAGTTTCAATGGCAAGGTAAGAAGGTGGTTCTGAAAGGTGATAGCCACCATGAGAAGTCTGCAGCAACCAAGCCTGTGTGTGAGGCAGACATATCTCGTTGCTATACTTTAGAGTGGAAACTAGTAAAGAATCAGTTACCAAGAGACTCAGAATTGTCTACAATTAAGGACAAGGTACCTGAAGAGCTTTGGCCGATTCTAGTGCAATACCAAGCTATATTTCAGATTCCTAGTGAGCTTCCTCCATTCAGGGGCTTAGATCATGCTATCCATTTGGAGGCAGGTTCAAAACTGGTAACTGTTCGA